CAGGTTTGTGGTGGCTTTGGGGCATTAGCCCCTGCTGAAAACTGGGGAGCGGCATGAGTTTCTTCCAAAGGCCACGATACCACGTCGAGGAGAGAATTAGACTAAAGTCATAAATACCCAGTTTCTCCCAGTCATCACCCAGAAGAGGTTGGGGGCTTTGAGTTATGGTTCGTGAGTTATGGAGGAGACAGAGAGTGGAATGTATCATTCACAATTCCTTATTTATTTATTTTTTTTTAAATTGTTCTAAGAGCTCTAGTTTGTAACACACAGCAGGTCCTGTGCTGGTATCACCAGTCGGAGGAGGCTGCGGTGGGAACGGGTTGGTGCTCAAGGCTCGGTAGAGCATATCTTCAGTCGTCCTCCTGGTTCTTGTCCGACCCCTCTCCTCTCTGGTCTGGTTAATCTCTGGGAGATTTAAGAGCAGAGGCTCTTCAGCCTCAGACAGGGATAGAAAGGGATGCAAAAACCGGGTGGTAAAATGACACAAACCCAAACTAGAAAGAGAGCGAACGCTTAACGGCGAGAGCAGGTGCTTCCTGGCGCCGTCTCTCCCACTTAGATTTACCATCGCTGTTCATTTTTAGAACCAAAACTAGGTTTCCGTGGTAAGAGAGAGTGCAGATCAAGAAGGGGTTAACTGGAAGGTCCAGCGTGGGGTGGCTGCTCTGCCAAGTCGTGTCTGACAGTCATCAGATCGCTCCGTCTCTGCGTGAATGTCCCGGCCCCCCCTTAATAAAGTTATTTCAGGAGCTGTAAGCTCTGGGGAATCTGGTGAAACTCAGTCCCTGTAATTGAGGGAAAATTGTGTCCAGTGCTGTGGATTCTTGCACCGGCGAGGACAGCTAGGTAGGAAGCCCTCTTCTCTGTGAAATGGCAGGAGGATTTCCTCAGGGCTCGGGGCTGAGAAGGCTTTACCTCGTTTGCTGGAAGAAGTTGTAGATTTGGGGGAGATGCTGAAGGCAAGAGCCTGCGAGGTGTTCCCTGAGCGTGGGACAGAGCGGCGTGGATGGAGCGGCTGCTGGCACGGCACAGAGTGACCAGAAGTCACTATATGGGGAAAAAAATAACTGATTTATTGATGTATAATTGATGTCCAAGGCCAGGTTGGATGGGGCTCTGAGTAACCTGATCTAGTTGAAGATGTCCCTGCCCATGGCAGGGGGGGGGTGGACTAGATGGTCTTTAAGGGTCCCTTCCAGCCCAAACCATTCCGTGATTCTGTGGTCTTGAAGGTGCTGGACTCTCTGTGCTTGTGAAATGTCCTCGTCCAGCGAGGACTGGGTTGGATCTGGGGGGAACAGGGGTCTCTGGGGAGCGGGAGCCCCTGGGTGACTTCCCAGAGTTTGGGGGAACTGACCGACAAGTCTTGGGGGTTTCGCAGCTTCTCCTGCTCGCCGTGAGTTGAGAACATTTTGAAAGTGTTTTTTGGGTTTTTTTTTTTTTGACTATTTATCAGAGCAGTTGTTCTAACTACGAATTGTGTAGCTTTTTGAAGGGAAAGCAGTGACTGCACTGACTAATCTGGACGCGGATCCTTTAGGAACAGAGGAGCACGGGGAATTTGGGCGATCCGAGCACGCTTCTCAGAGCCGGTGTCGCATCGTCACCACCTACACGCGGTTTCCTACGCGAGCCAGCGAGCTCGAACAGGGATTTTCATAGGTCCGTATGTTGCATCTAAGTACTGAAGTGCTTCTCGAAGGCCTCGGGGACCGAATCTCGCGCCGGTGTTGCTCTGGGGTGAGGCACAGCAGCGGCGTAACAGCAGGCGGACGGGTTGCTGCCGTGCCTGTGCTTCCCTGCCTCCTCACCCCGGGGTGTAATTAGGCGCCGCAGAGGAAGCCAGGCCGAGCTCCAGTGCGTCGATCGGAGGTGCTGGCTGCAAGACACCTCTCTGGGGAACGGCCCCGAGGGATCTGCTGTGTGGCAGGGGTGGCATGCCACGGGGCAGGCGTGCCGTGCTGTCCCCGGGAGAGCCCTGGGGTAAAGGTTGAAGCCAAGCTGGCGGCTCCATACCCGGTGATCGGAAGCTGGGAGGAGGTGGAGGTCATTCCTTTGTACACATCGCAGGAAAACACGATAACAAAGTCCTCGCTGTGACTTCTTTTCAGTTTCTTTTCTTACAACTCCGTGCCTGCTTGCTGGTAAACGTTGGGTGCGGGTCATTCGGGGCTGGCCAGCGCTGTGCTCGGCTGCGGCTGTGCCGGGGGGAGAGCCGGTCCCCGGGTGAGTCCTGGCCCCGCGGCCGTGCTGGAGGCTCTCCGGCCAGACGGGGTTTTGTGAACCGTGTGTTGATGTGCCCAGCCCCAGCCGAGCTGCTGTAGCTTTTATCTGGGTTTGTGTCGCACTGAGGAAAGGCGACGTGAAGTCAGAGGTGCGGGTGCAGATTACCTGGGGAGGAATAACCCCATGCACCAGTACAGGTTGGGGGTGACCTGCTGGAGAGCAGCTCTGTGGAGAGGGACCTGGGAGTCCTGATGGACAACAGGATGACCATGAGCCAGCAATGTGCCCTGGCGGCCAAGAAGGCGAATGGCATCCTGGGGTGCATCAA